CCTTTTGATGGATCACCTATAATTTCACCATCCTTGACATAGTTGTACTCTCTTGGATAAGATACTTCCCTTTCTTCAATGGTTGGATTCTCAAGAGTATCATGAGTTTCCTCATTTTTCGTTTCTTCCTTTGATGACGGTTCTCCAACTTCATGTCTAACGTCATTTGATTTATAACCTACATCATCATTCACAAGAATCCTTCCTCGGAAGGGGATTATCATCGAAACAATATGTATAGACTCTTCTACAACTAAGTTTCTTTTATTAAATACACGATAGGCTTTAGAATTTAAGGAACCCAGAAAAATTCTTCATCACTTTTAGCATCAAATTTGCCAAGGTTTTCTTTACCGTTGTTTAAAACAAAACATTTACATCCAAAATGATGAAAATAACTAATGTTAGGCTTTTTATTTTGAAATTTCATATGGAGTTTTCTTTAAAATTGGCCTAATCATTACTCGATTTACAACATAACAAGCGGTATTTGTGGCTTCCGCCCAACAATATTTTGGCAAATTATTTTCACAAAGCATGGTTCTAGCCATTTCTTCTAAAGTTCGATTTTCCTCTCAACAACTCCATTTGTTGAGGGGTTCTAGTGCTGAAAAATTATGACTAATACCATTAGAATTACAAAATTCAATAAATCCAAGATTTTCAAATTTAGTGCCATGATCACTCCTAACACTAGTTATAGAGTAACCCTTTTCATTTTGGATTATTTTTGAAAATGTGATGATTGTTCTAATGCTTCATCTTTAGTACTTAAAAATAGAACCCAAGTATATCTAGAATAGTCATCTACCAAGACAAATGCATATTGTTTTCCACCCAAGCTAGTAGTCCTAGTTGGCCCAAAAAGATCTACATGGATCAATTGTAATACTCTACTAGTTGATACGTCATTAATGGATTTAAAAGAAACACGCTTTTGTTTCCTTTAGCACAAGCATCACGATTTTATCATTATCAAATTTAAGCTTAGGCAACCCTCGAACTAAATCACCTTGAATTAGCCGTTGCAAAACACTCATACTAGCATGTCATAGTCTCCTATGCCATAACCAACTATCATGTTCATCTTTAGCAACTAGGCATAAATTAGTCATATCAAAAGAATCTAAATGCACCATGTAAATGTTCCCTATTTCTATGACCAACAAGCATAATCCGATTAGATGCAATGTCAATGACTTTACAATCATTAATTTCAAATAAGATTGAATCCTTTATCGCATAATTGACTAATACTCAATAGATTATGCTTTAATCCATTCACATATAAAACATTCTTAATTGTATGGAAGAGGTATTACCTATTTACCAATACCTTCATGTGGCCTTTGAATTGTTAACTTTTGATTTTTGGTACCAAATTCTTTTGGGTCCATATTCATTAGTTTCCAAATCTTTCCCCTTAGGTACCATTTTTAGGATATTTTTATCTTAGTAGTATGAGTTCTTTAGGAACCCACATACTTCTAACGATTTTTCCATTAGAGGTTCTTTGGGGACCTCATGATTGTAGTTTCTAAAACTTTTTCTAACAAAGTGGATTTTGAATTTCCACATTTTTCAAATATTTTGTTCCAACTTTATCAAAAGAAGTTTTAAGATCATCAATTTTCTTTGATGATCATCATTGATCTTTGAAGTAAATTTTGCAAATCTAAATTTTTCTTTTCAAACTCTTCTAGTTTGATTTGCAAGTCTTTGATTTTACTTCAAGATCGTTGTTGGTTTTGGATATAGTTTGTTTCATTTTTCAATTTTGAAACATCATTTTATATTTTAAAAATAATTTCATAATCCGAAGCCAACCCATTATATTCCTCTAATAACTCATCAAGATAATCATCAAAATCGGATGTTAGAGGTTACCTTAGAATCTTCCCCGAATGCCATCAAGCACAAGTTTGCTACTTCTTGTCCTCTTCATCGGAACTTTATTCATCGCTCCATAAGCACAGAGCCTTGTGCTATTCTTTAATTGACCCTTATTCTTTAATTATGGGCAATCATATTGACATGCCCCGGCTTTTTGCATTCATAGCAAATGATTGGGTCCTTCTCTTTTGGTTCATTTTGAGGCCTTCGTTTCGTTGAATTTTCTTCCTCGGTAAGGTCTCATCATTTTCTGAACCGTTGACAAACAATGCCATTTCCCGTCGTCATCATCATTATTAGAATCACTCATCTTTTGTGGATTTGAGAGCAACTCCAATGTTTTTCTTCTTCTCCTTCTCCTTTGGTGTCTCTTCAACTTTATCAAGGTCCACCTCATCTTCAAGCATCATCTCATGAGTGAGGAGTGAACCGATAAGTTCTTCAAGAGTTAAGGATGATAGGTCCTTAGACTCAATGATTGCCGTCTTCTTTGATTGCCATGATTTTAGGAGGGAGTAGACTAACTTCCTCACAAGCTTTCATTTGAGATGATCTCTCCATATGATTGAGACCATTGACAATCGTTGAAAATCTATCCGTCATAGCTTTGATGTCTTCATTTGGTTTCATCCTGAAATTTTCATAGCTATGCGTTAGAATACTAATTTTGATTTCTTTACCTCATCGGTACCTTCATGTGACTTGAAGCTTGTCCATATTTCTTTGGCGGTTGTACATGATGAAACTCTTCCGTATTCATCTGGTCCAAGAGCACAAAAAATAATATGGATGGCTTGGAATTGAGCTGGAACATTCTTGTATCTCCTTCACTCCACAACCTTGGATGAGTTAGAGGCTGATGTATCCTTCTTCTACGGCATTCCATGCTCCCATGTCACTTACTTGAATGAAGTACATCATTCTATTTTCCAACAGGTATAATTAGCCCGTTGAAGAAAGGGCTTGTTGACGGGCATCGAATCGAGACCGAGTCGTAATTTGTAGTGGAGGCCATTGATGACTTTGTAATCGATGTAACTCTTCCCGAATGACTCAAGAGGCGATTAAACCTTCAAATGAGTGAGGCTCTATACCAATTGTTGAGTTAATCGATCGACGGAATCGGCCAGAGGGGGGTGAATTGGCAATTAAAAATTTCGTGGAAGCTTTTGCAGAAAATTGAAAGTAATTGCACAGCGATTTACAGTGGTTCGAATTTCTCAAACAAAGTCTACGTCCACTATCTTAGCTATCCACACTAAGGATTTTCCAACAAATTCACTAATTTGTTCTTTCTTTTGAGGCCAAAGAGATAACCTTACAAAATCCCTCAAGAGTATACCCCAACTCTTGAGAACACTCTTTTTCCCAAAGAGAAGATTACAAATTTGCAAACTTACAAGAAAATCCTCACAAGGTAAGATGTTTGCACAATTCTAGAATAAGAAAAGAACACTCAAATATAATTACAAATGAGCACAAATGGTGTTCTTGAAAGCAAAATGAATATTGAAAGGAAAATTGGCTTGATTTGCACAAACTTGGTGTTTGATGCTTTCTCTCTTGTTTCTCTATAATTTCTTATTGATCAAGGGCTTCAGAACTTGTTTAAATACACCTTGAATCACTTCTGAACGTTGGTGATAATTAGTGGAGTCAATAGAGCCGTTCAAGTGTGAAAACAATTAATTTTTCTGGGTGGAGCGTCTCATGCATCGATGCATGATGGAGGATGCATCGGTGCATCAGTGTAAAATTCAAATATTTTGACCATTGGAACACTTGATGCATCGGTGCACCAAGTGTGCATCGATGCATGAAATGCATTCGATGTTTGAAAATAGCCTGCGTGCATCGATGCATGGCTTGTGCATCAAATGCATTCGATGTTTTGAAAATATTCAGAGTGCATCGATGCATGGAGAATGCATCGGTGCATGGAATGCATTCGATGTTTCAATTAATTCACTAATGCATCGATGCATGGTTGATGCATCGGTGCATCACCTCAAATAATTGAATTTAGGCTTTGATTTTGGTTCAAAATACTTTGTGAAAATTGTTTTAAAAATAGTTTAAGTACAAAATCACAATGTTACCCATTTAGTAAGGTTTAAAATTGATCTTGAAAAACTTGGAGTAATAATTTGATATTCGGTTAATTGAATCGAATATAAAATTGTAACATCATTTGTAAAATCTTAAAATTCATTTAACTTAATTTGTTATATCGAAATATCAAAAATGTTTTCAACATAAATGCTTATATACTTTATAACTATCATTAATTGATACTACTGATCAGTTGCGCTAGTATTTTACAACTTTATGGCTTATCTTATTTTCTTACTGCAGGTCTGTTGGCCTTTCCAGCCAGTACTTATTTGCATGATAGACAATCAAATATGTAGTCTTAATGATGTTATTTTTGTTTGAGATTTTGATGTGTTCATAATAATGTCATATGTTTCTTAGTTTTTGGAAAGAATACACCAATTATCATCATTCTTTGCAATAATACTCTAATGAAATGTCCTTACCGATAATATCGGAGCAATTTTATTTCAACTATTTTCTTGAGTGACTATGAGTAGCGATGCTCTCATGAGGAGATTCCCCACCCCAACATATTTATTTGTTATTAACTTAAATTATATTTCTAAATAACTAAGATGGTCCATAGATAATTTCCCACATTATGTTGTTGTGGAGGGGACTAGGGATGTTACACCTTCTATGTTGAAGTCTTCTACTGGCCTAGAAGGTATATATCTATATTAATTTCCTAAGGTGGTCTAATATGTTCTATATGATGTCAAGTAATTTTGACTTGAGCTGATGAACTTTTCCACCCTCATATACAACTTCTAAACTTTCTCCAAAGAAGTGGGGTCTTTTTTGGAAGCTCAAGTGTTTATGACAATCATATGATGGAACAATATAAATGAGCTACTTTTGGAGAACTAAGTCCCCATGTTTTTGTGGTTGGTGATGCTGCCTACAGGTGATTAGATGTCAATGTCTTTAATGCATTGTTAAACATTCTTTTGTTTCTTTTATTTTTGTTTGAAGTCTTACAATGTCATGTTGCATAAAAAATTAGGGCAATGATTACTGAGGGAAAAAATAATTATATTCTGGTTAGTGGAGAAAGTGGTGCCGGTAAAATCGAGACCACAAAAATGCTCATGAGATATCTTGCATTCTTGGGTGGGCGATCTAGAGTTGAAGGACACACAGTTGAACAAGTTCTGGAGGTAAGCTATACGTTTTCTTTCTCGAGAAAAGAATTGATCAGGATTTTTGTCTGTCTTATTTCGTGAGGTTGGTGCATCTTGGTTTATCTTTGTAAGAAATCGGTGTGATATTAAGAAATCAAGTTTAGTAACCCCTAAAGTAGAAAGTTATGTTGATCTCTATGAATTTTATACCCCGATCTGATCCATGTACTTTTCAAATTAAAGTTTCCTAGAGCATCCCCATGGATTATTTATTGAATGCTTGCATTTTTTGTCAATAATAATATTTATGCTATTAAAAAGATGGAGTATTAGTGTATTTTTCTTCCATTTATTTGTTAATTTCATGAATATATAACCTATGAATTTTAGAATTACGAATTTGTGCAAGTACCCAGCTTTATTACTAGATTTATTCTCTGAAGTGATCTTTATACACCTGTACTTGGTATTGTTTCTTCCTTGTTGTTTGCTAGGTGATGGCACCAACTGTGTTTTTAGTGTTTCTGTGCTTACTATTCGGGATCTGGTTGTTTCAGACTTTGGCTTTGATGGTTTACCTGATTGACTGTTCTTTATTGTATTATCTTTGCCATCTTGTTTCCGGGTTTATGAAATTGTAATTTCATTTGCAGTAATGTTATCTGACAGTACTGTTAATTATGAAAGGTAGTGGCTGCAAGTCCTCAATTATCTTGCTAAACTAGATGGTTTCCTTCTGGTTTGTGTTTAAGAATTAAATTTTACATGCAGCTGAAAAGAATCCCAAAAAGCCCTGGCTGGGAACGGTTCGAGTTCGACAAAGATGTCCTACTTGATGATGAGGAAGTTGAAGGTTAAACATCTATCCATATCATTTCATAATTGTATCTGAAAAGCAATTAGAATCTATCAGTGTCACGTGATACTTTAGCCTGTGGAAACATAGTTCCTCTCAATTTGTTTTATGTGTTTCCCCATTTAGCTATTTAATATAAAATTTAACAGGTATTAGATGTTAAACCTCATAAGTAATGATGAGTATTAGTATCAGGCATTTGATCTTGGAAAATCATAATTCATATATACTTTCTGTCGAGAGTTAATTCATAAGTAATGATGAGTATTCTTGTAACTCCCTTGCTTTTGTTTAAAGCTTTAAGGGGAAGTTAAGAAATTTGTAAATCAAACTATTGATCTTTTACCTACATTGAATTGAATGCTTATTTTAGGACCAAACTAAAGTATCATCGTTTCTCAAGTAATGTCTTGATTTTTATAATCATATGAAAACTGACAATGTTCAATTATTTAGGGGAATCTATTGGTTTATAATAATCAATGTTTATCATTGAATATGTACTTCACTTATAAATTTATATATTCGAGTTCACTTTGCAACCTTTAGCTTGAAATATTTGTAATCCTGGAATGAACAAAGGTGTACTAGAACTTACTTCATGTGCCTCATTGTTGGCAGTTGCTGAAGATGATGCATCATTAGTGAAGCATATTAGCTGGAGCTTTCGGTTTTCTGCCATAGAGGTGATGCATCGTTCCTTTTCATCAGTCCTTGTTTCAAATTCCAATTGATGTTCATGCATACATGTTATGTTGTATGTATGTTATTTGTGTTTTGTGGGAGACAATTAGTTTGGTTGCTCTAGCATAATTGGTGTTGTGTTTATATGTAGGCAATGAGGGAGGAGCAACTGAAAGCAGCTCACAATGAGGCCATTTTTGGCACAACAGCTTCTCTTTCTGTTAAAGTAGATAGTGAACCGGAGCTAGTGGATTTAATTAAAAGAGCAATGAAGACTAAATTCTAGTGAATAATAATTTTTTAATTGAAAGTGAGAACCTATACCGAATCATAGAGAACAATGTCAAACTACATTACATTCAATTTTAATGTTTATAAATTTTAAGTTATTTTGTTCTTAAGTATTTTTCTGCATAACTTGTGATTTAATTAAAATGTATGCTTGTTGTTAATTAGATAAAGCTACATGATATTAAATTTAGGTGATGTAGAGCATAAATGAAATATGCAAAATCAATTAATCTTAGCCAAAGAAAGGTAATTAGCGGCGTTTGTATCCAAAAACGCCGCTATAGATATGACCTTTGCGGCGTTTCCCCCCCAAAAAATGCCATTATAGATCTTGACCTTTTGCAGCGTTTATTCCAAAAACGCTACTATAGATATGACCTTTTACAGCGTTTGTTCCAAAAATGCCGCTATAGTTCTTGACCTTTTGCAGCGTTTGTTCCAGAAACGCTGCTATAGATATAACCTTTTGCGGCGTTTGTTTAAAAAACGCCGCTATATATCTTGACCTATGGCGGCGTTTTTGGTTCTCAAACGCCGCTAACTTTAGTGACACGGGTTTTAGCGGCGTTTCTTGTGACATTTTTTTAATCGCTGTAAGCGCTTTTAGCGGCGCTTAAAACTGTCGCTATAGGACTAAAAAAACACCGCTAAAACTTTATTTTGCTGTAGTGAGGTAGTATCGATACTACCAACAATGCTCAAATTCCAAAATGCAAAAAATGATACCGATACCCAAAGTGTAACATCCCAAAACTAGAGCAAGTGACTAAAATGGAAGTTTTGAAAATTTGAAGTCTAATTTCGAAAGATCTAAAAGTTCAAAGATGTAATTAGGAATATTTTGAGGACTATTTGGTAAATATGTAAGGAAGTAAGGGTAAATTGGTCTTTTCAAAGAAATATTTTTATTATCTCTTTATAAAAGAGATAACCACGTGTAAATGGGAAAGAAAATTATGGTGAGATGGGGTTCAGTTTCTTCTTCTTTCCGTGTCTTCATGTATAAGGTGAGCTGGATTTAATTTGCTTGTTTCTTCAATCTTATGGTTTCTTTTGATTCTTGAGTGATAAGAAAGAGTAAGGGAAGAGTTTTGGTGACCTAAAACTCCAAAATGAACAAGTTATAAGAGATTTAGAAAAAGGAGTTCTTAAGTGAATTATTGAAATAGAATGAGTTAACATAATTTGAAGTTAATTTTAACTTGTCAAAGGGTTAATTAAGAATTTAGAGGTGATAGAATTGAATTATAAACACATGGAAAATTTGATGAAATTCTTTAATTCAAGTATTGTGGTGAATTATGAGGGATATTTAAGTGTTATAGTATTATAAGAAGGTTTACATATGTATAGATGAGTTTTAAGGCATAAGGAGGGGTTAATAAGTAGAATATGAGGTCAAAGTAAGAATTTTCGGGCTCAAATGGAATTTTTGGGTTATGTGCATCAATGCACTCTTAAATAAATGAACATCGAATGCAATTAGTGCATCGATGCATAAGGAGTGCGTCGATGCACCCCCTTAAAAGGAAAACATCGAATGTGATTTGTGTATCGATGCATGAGTAGTGCATCGATGCACATGTTAAGGGATGCATCGATACACTGTAGAATGTATCGATGCACTTCAATAGGAAATGGAATAAATCTTTCTTTTGGTTTAAGAAATGATATATTAGAATACATCAATTGGATACTGATATGGATCTGTGTATTATTATGTAGATACCGAACTCGAACAAGTTCCGAAATGATCATCAAATTAAGATTCGATCGAAAGAAAAGAAATCATAAAAGTGGATTGGAACTTAGTGAGGCCAAGGTGAGTGCATCTTATTGCATAGGATTATATGGAAATTGACTTGAGATAAGTCTATTCCGATAGTATAGTACATAAAGTATGTAATAATAAAATGGTATTTGAGTTACTTAACAATACGTCATAAGATTACATGCATAGGTAACATAAGTTATAAGATAAGAAAATATGTGTTTACATGTGTTTGCGGATATATATATATATATGAATAAGATATGATATATGTTTATGTAAAACCATGCAAAATGATATGAGAAGTGAACTACATGATTATATAGATCATATGAGAATGAGATAAAGAGCCCTGTGATATATGACATGAGATATATGAAAGAGAAAGTATATGTGACAAGTGAAAGTGAATCATATGATTATATGAAGATGGGAAACGATATAAAGATATTGCCCATGTTATGTGTTATGAGATCTAGATATATAGTTGGCATGCCAAGAGTCGAGGGTCTACGTAGTCCTTCGGGACACAGTGGTCCTTCGGGACATAGTGATCATTCGGGACATTTTATAGTGGTCCTTCGGGACAAATTTCATAGCCCCTAGTGGGACCCATACGAGCTGTGGTGACAGCATAGTGCACAACCTCAATAGACTCACATATATATAGTTCTCAAAAGTGTACATGGGCTAAACAAGGATATAACAATAAATATATTACATGTGATGTATATGCTTTTGTGAAATGAATTATATCATATGATTTGAATGATGATATGTGTATTGCGTGGTTAAATGAGTCATGTTGGTTAAAATGTTAAGTACGAAAGGATATGATTACAAGATATAAATAATAATTATATTGATAGTAAAGTAAGGTTAATGATGGAAAGAATGAATGATGTGTACATTTGATTACATGAAATGCTATATTGTTTTGTGTGATAGTATGATATGATATATTCATGCATGATTAAGTAGTTAGGGTTACTTTTATGTGTTTAATGTCTTACTAAGTCATAGACTTAGCATGTGAGTGTTTCACACGTAGGTTCCAGATAGCAAGAAGAGAAGTTTAGAGGAGCAAGACAAGTCAGATTCTCCTTTCCACAATTCAGATCAAAATATGTTTAAATTATATATTTTGTCATATGAAATGTAGTTGGCATGTAAGATAAAAGATTTGTACTGGATACGCTCTAACCAATTTGTAAAACCATACGTTTTATACAATAGAAATTATTTGGATTTTATTGGAAATGTCTAACTGAATTTCATTAGATTTTGTCAAAGTAAACGTTTTGAACGGGCAATGTGACACCTCGGACTCGTATTCGAGTCGGGTACGGGTTGGGGGTGTTACACAAAGGGGTACCGATACTACTTTACATAGTAGTATCAATACCATAAGCTTAGTATCGATACCGTCAGACCCAACGGCTAGTAACGACTAGTTTTATTTAAAAATAACAAAGGTAATACCGATACTACCTGTAGGAGTATTGATACCCTTTGTATTGAGTATTTTTATTTTGCAGAGAAAAACATCCCCAACGGATATAAACGGCCACAACTTCATTCTTATTTTTCTGTTATCTTCTAAATATTGTGTTTTAGTGAGCTTCAATTTGTAAACACCTACCTTGTAAGGGTTTTATTGTTTACACTATCTTTCCTTTTATAAAAGGGGTTTGATTCTAGTATAGTCAAGTGAAAAACTATGGAGTGTAAAGGTTATCTCTTTTTCCTTAAAAAAGAAAGAACAAATTAGTGAATTTATTAGAAAATCCTAAGTGAGAAGTTTAGGCAGTGGATGTAAACTTCATTGAGGGAGTTGAACCACAATAAATCCGTATGCAATATTCTTTTTATCTCTTTTTTCTCCTTACTCCCTAAAATCTACAATTTGCCAAATTCCGCCTCTTTGTGATATTTTTCGGTTGATTACATCGAGTCTCTTCAATCCTAACAAACTTAATAGGGCTTCTAACTCCTGAGTTTTGTATTGTTAGTATATGAGGGAGAGAAGGCTAGTATAACTGGGATGATCAAACAAGATTTCAACCAATTCCAGAAAGTTGTAGAAGCTCATATCATTTCAACTAAAATAAGATCTTAAACTATGGTCTATGCACTTTGAGAATCTAGAAATAACAAATATAAAATCTTATGCATTTTATCAGAGACATAAGCAAAAAAAAACAACATAATCTAAGGTAGAAAAGAAATTGATATACGAATAGAAATTAGTAAAAAATATAAAAAATTGCTTGCTGCATACTTTATGAACAAGGCGCCTACAAAATGTTTGATTATATGTGCTAGAAAGACAGATTGGCTACTGCAGAATCAACAGTGATCTCGACGATGGGATATCTAAGAAAATGCAAGATATTTTTTACAGGACGAAACGACAAGAAATCAGCTCAAATTTCCCGTTTCCACGAACTCAAAATCTTGTGGAAACATTCAGAATATATACCCATTTCACGGATTTACCCAAAACAGGATCAAAGCAGGGAGATTGGAAATCGATGATAGAAATGAATTGTTGGGAGAATAAGAAAATAGTAAGCTCAGCACTGCTCTCTTTGGTTACCCAGTAGGCAAAAACACCAACTTTTGCATTAAAAGTCTGGATTAAAACAGTATTGTCAATTTGATCATCATCATCAAACTCAATAAAGAAAAAATGTCTTGTCAGATACAGAACCATAAGTTACTGTCGAGGAAAACTATTAATTTGTCAAAAAAATTCCCTAGATGTGAAAGATGGTCACTTTCCTGTTTGATCACTGGTCACTTAAGAAGCAGCAAATCAACAAGCAACATGCTAGGCCACCTAATGCTCCATCAATCCAGGATGTGTCTCATTCTTATTGCCAATGCCAACCTTTATTTCCTTGTAATTGATTGGCTGGTATTTTATTTTTTCCGATTTGCAGTCATTGTATATTATCTTGTTTATGAACAACACTGTGTTATATACATGTTCTAGTTACTCATACAAAAAAAAATAACAAAATACACTCCATTAATGCAGATAATTCTTGATAGTACAAAGGAACAAATTTGTGTATAAATAGGGTTGCAGTATCAGTCCCAGATCATAACAACTGCTATAACTGTAACACCGAGAAGCACAGCAAGAAACTTGAAGGAAGGAGTGTCAAAGTAACATTTAACTTGTGGTTTAAAGCCGTTAGCAATGAGATGGTTGATGACAAACATAAATGAAAACCCGCAAGCAAGTCCCGTTGAGATTGAGTAAATCCAATCATCCACATGACCTTGAGTAGTGGCATCAATGGCAATGCCGATCCCTACACCTATGGACTAGAAACAGCGAAGGCAGAAAGAGTAAGCACAGGTCAACAAAAATGGCCGCTTCGGTAACATCCTCAACAGCGCAATCCCCATAGCAATGGCTGCAAAAATTTTGTGTAGTGAAATTGTCCAAAGATTCTTCCATGCATCTCCCTTGGTACCTGCAAAAAAATAAAATAAAAAAATAACAAAGTTATCGAAATAGGTAACATACTAACATCGCGTTACGATCGTTGCTTATTTGTTTGACTGAAAGGTATATAGTAGCTTACCTGCAACACCAACGGCAATGCCCTCTAAAAGTGAGTGAAAACATAAGGCGAGAATCAGCAGGAAAGTGTCTCCAAAGGACGTTGCCCTAAAGAAAACTGGATTATTCGAATCAATTCCTATATCTTCGGAATGCTTGTCATCAGCTGTTCTTCCTTCTTCCACTTGCACTCTAACGCTTCTTTCAGCACTTGATGTAACACTGACAACTATGCAATCGACAAGCATGGTGAGAAGATAGCCTACCGATGCCAACATGAAGGCGAAAGGGTACGTTTTGGTTGTGAGTTCACCGAAAGTTTCATTAGAATCGCTCAAGAAATGAATCAAAGAGGTTGCCAGAAAAAACCCACCGGCAAACTGTGTGCCTAAGAGGAGAAAACTTTCGTTCCATTGATTGAAATAAGGGGAGACTCCACCGGAAAAAGTGCTGACTAGAAGAATGATCAAACACCATATTTTCACCAATTTTAAGCCCTTCTCATGCAAGTTTACATGGTCACCGTCGTCCCCTTCGTGATCATGCCCAGCATGGCCTTTCGTTACGGAGAACTGCAAGAGAAGAAGAAGAAGAAGAATGAACAAGGACGTTGATTTGAGTTCTGTAATGGCGGAAATTATATATAGCCATGGATATCAATTTCCCGGCCCCCTTAAAAGTCTAAACATGGAAAAGGTAAATACTCCTTATAGATCTGGATTTGCTCGCCACTTCTGAGTTTGCAGAACAGCATCGACTTTACAAAGTTTGTAGTATTGTACTACACAAACAAACAATAAATTTATTGAGGGCAAATAACACCGAATATCACTTAATTTTAGATAGTATAGACTTTACTACTAAATTTTAGAAAGGTTTCAATGTCAACATTGAACTTTAATTTATCGTTCAATGTAAACATAAATATTATTAATATTTAGATGATGTGACAGTTTAAATGTTAGTATGGAGCTGAAGTGGAAATTAAAAGAACAACTTGTTATTCCACGTCATCATTTTTTTAATATTAAAGTTAGTGTTTTTTCATCCATTTTTAGTTGTATCCGGAAACTGATATTCTCTAATGTCTTTTTTTTTGTCACTTTAGACATCGGTAAATTCATCTCATCATTTTTTACCACTTTAATTATTTAAAAAATTTCAAGACCTTTTTAAAAATAATGAAATTAAATACACAAAAATCTATTATTTTTTTGGTTTGGGAGTTTTCTTGGATCTAAAGGATTTTGAGTGTTTGTTTGGAAATTGAATGGTGAGAAGCATTCTTTTGAAAACATGAATAACATACCTCAAAACTAACGGTCGATAGAGGAGATTAGAGCATTAAAATGTTGAAACTTTAGATGGATTTTTGTCATTTTTAGTGAGTTTCATGAAAAACCAATTCGAGAATGAAAATAGTGAAACATGAACGTTTTAGTATTTGATATTGTCTAGAATAACGGTTAGTGACGAACGAAGATTGACCGGCAACGCAATCATAGACCTTAACAATTTTTTACAATGACCAAATTAATACGTAAACTAAAGTTTAATGTCTAAAATCGAAGCAATTTAAAGTTTAGTGATAAACATAAACTAATGTTCACAGAAAAGAAACAATCACATCATCATGCATTAACAATTTAATGTCCAATTCCCTAATTGACCATAAAATCAAAATTTAATATTAAAAATTTATAATTTAGTGATGAAAATAATACAAAATCTAAAGTTCAGTGATAATCTATGTAGTATACCCTTTATTTTGTCTGGTTTGGCCGGCGTACGTAACGTGATTCTTATACCAATCTGTAAAAGGTGGCAATATTAGGATGAGACTAGGTTTGAGCCCTCAACCCTTTTCCCATTGGCTGATCGATTGATCATATGTTTAAATAACCTAAACCCAATTTAATTTACATATTCCTGCTCTGTTATTGTACGTCTTTAGAGAATGTACGGGCCTTTGATGTGAAGTGTCGTTTGTTTTTTTAATTAATCACTGGTATCTGATCTATTGACCGATTAATCTAGATTTGATAGTTTGCTACATTTGCAAACGCCAGGATCCGAACATCTTACCTTGCTTAATGGACCTAGTGTCTCATCCACTAAATTAATTGGTTGTTGGTGAGTTGTCGTTTGTTTTAATTTTGAGCTTTTTATTCACAAATATCGTCAAATAAAAGATGGATTTAAGTCTTCACATATAAATCATAGACGATATTTAGATATTAGTTAAAATTACATACGATATTATCATATGTTAGTTAACAAATAATTAAAATAACATTAACAGATTTTTTGAAAAAAATAAATTAATATTATCAAAGTAATCTTTTAAATTACACACTAAATACATCAATGAATAAGATAATTATATAGCATAATCTGATATGAACACGTGAAAATAAAATATGATAAATTATAAGTGAAAATAATAGATTATATTAATCTCATATAAAAAATAAAATTTAAAAACAATAACATTATACATTAAGAATTATATGAACATGGCAGATTAAATGCGAGAAAAATATATGTTGTTAGAACATGTCATATGGGATTAATAATTTTCAGCACATACCTGACCAACATTTGTCGTAAGGTAACCATCAATATATATATATATATTTATTGGAACTGTTAGGTGGAATAAAAATATGAAAAATAAAACTATCAACCTATCCAAGAGGAACAAATGACTTAACACGTATGTGTGTGTGTGTATATATATATATATATATATATATTATACAGAAGAGATCATATGAAATTTTGTAGAAAATTAAGAATAATAGATATATTTTAAATGTAAAGTTGTAAACTTCAGATCTTAAATCTAATATAAAATATTGATTTTATAATATATATAAAGTAAATAGTTGTGGATTTAAAAATATTTTTTAAAGTGAATATATGTGTATATATATAATTTTATATAAAACGGACATAAATAAAAATTTAAGGTAGACATGTACATCCACCACTATATTAGAAAAATATGAAATGAACATTATTTATTAACTTCACGCTTGGTGATGTTGGACACACTTCAATGCACATACATACATCTAAATAGAAAAAGATTGTATTAGTTAGACTACAAGAGGAATGATAGGTTTTTTAAGACTTTCTTGTTAAATTGGTCATATTATAGATTCATTAACTAAAATTATATTTTGTCACATTTATAAGAGAAGAGAATTATGTAAAATATTATATTTCAAATCTTTGATTAATAAAGATTATTAATAGAATGATATAAATTTTGTATATAAATTTATTGAATATAGATTTCATCCCTAAGATTATGGTTTTAATTTTGTATTTAAAGATTATATAAATCTACGAGTAAGATTATGGTGGCTGCAAACCCACGAACTTACTGCTTTTTAAACTTCTTCATAATTATTGTTCTTTGTTAAGAAAAAGAAAAAACAAGCAAATATTACTGGAATAGTTCAGGGCAAAACTCTAAAGGAGTTAATAACGTGAGAGATTTTTTATTTTTTCAAACCAAAGTAAAAAATAAAAGTAATTAAAAGGGGTAAATTTCAGATATTTAAGCAAGAGTAAGATTTCATATGTGGTGTATATAAATTGTAATTTGAAACGAAATAATTTACAGATATTAAGAAAACTGAAAAATTACAGACATAAATCATAAATGTCAAAATTTTAAGACAAAGTAACTTAAAGTGGCATCGAATCTAAAGTGTTGAGGATTCAGTTGCAGTTTGCTTGTTTCTGGTCAATTATAAAAGGTTTTCACGTACATCAGTCGGTTATCACTTGGTCAATTATCCCTGATTTTTAGGGAATACAACAGTAGTATCATTAATCTCTAAAAATACTATAAGCCCAAAGCAAAATAAAAACTAAAGAAGACTCTTTTTTCTGTTACTCCCTCACTGTATTTAATTCCTGCCTCCCTAGATTGTGTAAAAAAACCTAAAAGGGTTCTTGTAAGAACCAATAGCCGCCGCCGCTGGATTTGATCTCAACCGTTAACTCTCTCTCTATACTTCAAGCTTCCCTTCCCCCTCTCCGTTGATTTCTGCTTCAAAAACAAAGTTTCCTCCTTTCATAGCTATGTTGCTTTATTTTTATTTCCTTTTTTTTATTGGAAAACATGGTGCTATTATCTGTTTCTTGTTGGTTCATTTCATAATAGCTAAAGTTGAAGAAAATCTAAGTTTGGGTGCTTTTAACTATTTTTCCCTAGCTCTGATAATTTTAGGGGTATGGGTTTTTGCTGTTTGTGAATTAGGGGTGATCAAAGTATTAACCTTTGTCCCGTTTGGTAGCTTAAAGTTAGCATCTTTGGAGTTTGTAAATATGGGATTTTGGTGTATTAGTGTAGAAAAGATTTAGTATTTCGGGTTCAGTATCCGATCGTTGATTTTGGGTTGTGATCATTTTTGGGAGTTTTGATAAAAGCTTAACGATCATTTAGGATTTTAAGAATGTTATCTGAATTGGGTAGGAGACCAATGATAGGAACTGGTGAAGGAACATTTGCCGATGATATGGAGTCGGAGATGGGACTATTGCTCCGCGAACAGCGGAGTAAGCAAGAAGCCGATGATCTCGAACGAGAGCTAAACTTGTACAGAAGTGGCTCTGCACCTCCTACCGTGGAGGGTTCACTGAGTGCAGTTGGCGGATTGTTTGGCGGTGGAGCCACTATTGCTGCTGGTTCTGGAGGTGGTAGTGGGGCTACTGCCTTTTCAGCTCTTGTAGGATCTAAACATGGACATGGTTTTGCATCCGAGGAAGAGCTAAGGTCTGATCCAGCTTATCATTCATACTATTACTCAAATGTGAATCTCAACCCGAGGCTCCCACCTCCTTTGCTTTCCAAAGAGGATTGGAAGTTTGCACAGAGGTTGAAAGGAGGGAGTTCAGTGATAGGTGGGATTGGAGATAGGAGGAAAGTGAATAGGGCTGATAATGGTAGTAGTAGGTCGTTGTTTTCAATGCCACCAGGGTTTGATACCAGGAAACAAGAGAATGAAGTAGATGCAGAGAAAGTGCATAGCTCAGCAAACTGGGGTGGTGAGGGACTGATTGGTTTGTCCGGTGTAGGACTTGGAAGCAAACAGAAAAGCCTTGCTGAAAATTTTCAGGTTTAATGTTTTAATAGTTAATGTCACTTGTTCTAAGTTTTATTTATTTATTTTTATTTTGTTTGGTCTCTGCCTTTTGCTGCTGAAAAAAGGTGGTTGTTTCTTTAGAATGCTATCTTTTGCCGTCTAAGTTTCAGTAGTCAATGTGGTTGACCTTATAGTTTCATGGGTCAATTCTTTAAGTCTATGGTTATGTTTGAGTGGTCTCGAGGTTTGTATTTTCATGTAGTCGCAAAATGATCATATGTATGACGTACAATTATTTGCCATTCTGCTGATTCCTAAGGTAGTTATGTTACTTTGTGTTAAACTCAGTAGGCATTTTTTTTATCAACATTTCTTCTTGTTCATAAATTGGTAGCTTGTTTATAGTGTATTATAGACTTCTGAACGCTACTCAAAATCTATTTCAGATGTAGTTTGTAATCTTCCCTTGATTTAATATCATAGACTACAAATCAGAACTCAAAATTTCAGGAACTTATTTTTTGGTTGCTGCAGTGATTTAATATTCATCATTTTTGCAGGCTGATTTGGACTCTGCTCCTGTCTCAAGGATACCGTCTCGTCCTGCTAGTCGAAATGCTTTTGATGAGAACTTTGAGAATTTAGGTTATGCTGAATCTGATCTGGCTCATTTGCAGCGTGAATTGACTTCTGCAGATACTGTAAGGTCAAGTGTGAGTGTCCAAGGTTCTTCTGCTGTCCAAACTGTTGCTGGACCTTCGTACACTTATGCTGCTGCAATAGGCGCTTCCTTGTCCAGGAGTACTACTCCTGATCACCAACTTGTTGCTAGGGCACCTAGTCCCTGTTTGACACCAATTGGAGGAGGCAGAGTTGGTAACTTGGATAAAAGAAACATGAATGGTCCAAGCACGTTTGGTGGTGTTACATCTGGTGTCAACCAGCCTGCAGATCTGGCAGTTGCTTTGTCAGGCATGACCCTGTCATCAAATGATGCACCGGCTAAAGATAATCAGTTACCATCCCAGACTGAACAAGATGCTGAAACTCACCAAAATTATTTGTTTGGTTTGCAAGATGGTCGGAATTATATCAAACAGCAAGAATACTTGAAGAAGGCTGAATCTGGTCATTTAGATATGCCTTCGGCTAAGATTAGCAGGCAAGCGGAGTTGCAAAAATCTTCTGTCCCCTCAAACAATTCTTTCTTGAAAGGATCTCCTACTTCCACTCTCAACGGTGGAGGCAGCTTAACTACTCAGTTTCAGCATGGTGGTAGTGCAAATTCATCATTTCCAAACTATGGATTAAGTGGTTATTTTTTAAACCCTGGTTTGTCCTCTATGATGCCTAGCCAACTTGGAACAGGCAATCTACCAGGTGCATCAGCTATACCAGCCCCTGGAATGGACTCCAGGGTGTTTGGGGGAGGTTTGGTTTCTGGACAGAACATTTCAATTGCTGCATCCGAGTCACATAATCTTGGTAGAGGTGGAGGCCAAATAGCTAGGAATGTTCTGCCGGCATCTTATGTTGATCCTATGTATCTTCAGTATTTGAGGACATCTGATTATGCTGCAGCACAGCTTGCAGGTTTTAATGATCCTTCTATGGATAGGAATTTTCATGGTGATTCCTACATGAACTTGCTTGAGCTGCAAAAGGCATATTTTGGGACTCTGCTATCACCTCAGAAATCTCAGTATGGTGTTCCATTGGGTGCTAAATCTGGTAGTTCTAATCTGCATGGTTTTCATGGAAATTCTACCTTTGGAGCTGGCATGTCGTATCCTGGAAGCCCCTTAGCAAATTCTGTTATTCCAAACTCTCCAGTTGGACTTGGCAGTCCTATCAGACACACTGACGTGACTTCTGGGGCGAGGAATATTGCTGGGAGCGTCACAGGATATGCAGGATATAACCTGGCTGAGAGCTCTGCCTCCTCCCTACTTGAAGAGTTTAAGAGCAATAAAACAAAGTGTTTTGAACTTTTAGAAATTGCTGGTCATGTTGTTGAGTTCAGGTATGATATTATCCTACGTCATGTTTTATTTGCATATTGTCACCCTGACATTTTTTTCATCTTATGAATAGTGCGGATCAGTATGGCAGCCGTTTTATTCAGCAAAAACTTGAAACAGCTACAACTGAAGAGAAAATCATGGTTTATGAGGAAATCATGCCTCAAGCTCTTGTTTTGATGACTGATGTGTTTGGTAATTATGTAATTCAAAAGGTATCCACTTTTTAATCCATTACACATCTGCTTAGTTGTATATTTTGATGGTTTTCCTAGTAAATCTGTGTCTGCCTACAGTTTTTTGAACATGGACTTCCAGCTCAGAGAAGAGAACTTGCTTGCAAGCTTTTAGGTCATGTTTTAACACTCAGTCTTCAAATGTACGGTTGTCGAGTGATTCAGAAGGTATATGGTTTCCATTCTTCTACACGTTATTTCATAGTCATTGAGTTGCATGTTGAACTTCTCCTGTTAATTCTTTTTACTGAACAAGCTTCCTCAATTTTTTCGCCGTTTCATTCTAAATACAAACAGCCCAATTTTATACTTGATTAAATGCAAAAACTTCACATTGGCGCTTTCCATTTTATATAAAAATTCTATAAATCCTTTTAAATATTTTTTTGCAACATATGTGCTAATAATGCTGCAACCATGATAATTGTGTTTAACTTTGCTATCACCTTATCTTGGTTTTTATATAGATTTGCTAAAAACACTCATGCTATTTGAATGGTTACACGAAGAATACCGCCCAGCATTCTGACAATTATGTACATGCTTTGTTTAACATTCAAGGCCATAGAGGTTGTTGATCTGGATCAGAAGATTAGCATGGTTCATGAGCTTGATGGTAGTGTTATGCGTTGTGTACGAGACCAGAATGGCAACCATGTGATCCAAAAATGTATTGAATGTGTTCCCGAGGAAAACATACAATTTATAGTCACAACATTTTTTGATCAAGTTGTGACGCTTTCCGCTCATCCATATGGGTGCCGAGTTATACAGGTTCAGTGCCCTTATATATATATATATATATATTACATAGACTACTAGAACTGTTCCATGTAAATGTGCAATCTGTGTTCTATATTATTATCACTATTACTACATCTCATGCAGAGAATATTGGAGCACTGCAAGGACCCAAAAACTCAAAGTAAGGTTATGGATGAGATTTTAGGATCTGTTAGTCTGTTGGCCCAAGATCAATATGGCAATTATGTCATCCAGGTTTGTCATTCTTTTTTTGAACTAGTTCATATATTATAGAATCTGTTGGGGCAAAGTTAACTTACCTAATCTGCTGGGGGCCGAGGGTCTTCACTCTTTTGCATTCATGTCTATTAAAATACTGCCCACAATTGTTGTTGTATTTGTTTATTTTTTGCTAGTATATCCCTGGATTTTTATTTTTATTATTAAGCATCTCTATGGTATTTGCCATACTGATTCATGCATTAACTGACCTCTACAGCATGTACTGGAGCATGGAAAACCTCATGAGCGCTCAATCATAATTAAGGAGCTAGCTGGGAAGATTGTCCAGATGAGTCGGCAGAAGTTCGCATCGAATGTTGTCGAAAAGTGCTTAACTTTTGGTGGTTCTGCTGAACGACAGCTATTGGTGAATGAAATGCTTGGTTCTACTGATGAGAATGAACCTCTTCAGGTTTGTCTTTTCCGCGGATATATTTTTTGAATAGAAATAAGTTATTGTTCGAAAAAATGCCCTAAATAACTTAACCTAGGTTGTAAATCATCGGAGAAAAGCCATGAACCACAATGCATTTATTTGTAATTTGGTTTGGCTGATTATGGCCGTACACACATCATAATTTAGGTGTGTATTCTGATTGTTTGATCACTTTTCATGTAAAGTTTATGAGAACGCTTTTAAGTTTTATATATCATGTAGAATTTCCTGGCATCCATTTCATCTTTACTGATAGCTGTTTTTGTCCATCCCAGGCAATGATGAAAGACCAGTTTGCAAACTACGTTGTACAGAAAGTGCTAGAGACTTGTGATGACCAGCAACGAGAGCTGATACTTTCTCGAATTAAGGTCCATTTAAACGCATTGAAGAAGTACACTTATGGGAAGCATATTGTTGCACGGGTGGAGAAACTTGTTGCCGCTGGAGGTGCTTATTCTTGTCTTTCATGTTTACATATCAGTTTATATTTATCAATCTATTCATAAAGTAACTTCTTAGTATAGCCAGCTTCAATACAAAAATTATCAACTCTCTTTCTTCCAAAGCTGGCTTGCATACGTCGAAGTCTCTTAACACATGATTTTGCATTACTTTCAGAGAGGAGAATTGCTGCTCAGTCTCTGCACCCGTCTTAAGTTGAAGTCGGTGTAGGGAAAGAAACATGTTTTTGTACAGCTAACAGGATCTACGTGAAGCTTTCACATGTACTTTCTTCCTCCCCATAGTATCTGAGGGCCATGGTTCTTCTGCCTATCTTCTTAGACAATTAAAAACTGTAGGAAAATAATGTTGCTTAGCTTGTATCGAAAAATCTGTACATTGTGTAGCTCTTAAGGCTTATTATACATAGAAATCGAGCAAAAGCTGAGAGTTTCAGTTTTTGGAATACAACTGATAATGCCCCTGCCAGAGGAGATGAACGATTTTATACAAGTTTCTTCAAGGTGTAAACATTTTCTAAAATGGTAATGTAGCTTATAATGCGACTGTACAAACAAATCGCGTCATGTGAAGAGTACGATATAAACTGATGTTGGTTTGTGTTTATCCTTGTTATTTGCTTTTATTTAAAAATAAATTGAGTTTTAACCCTCTTTTTGTAAAAAAAAAGAAACATTTTATATAAATTGATTAGACGATACAAAGAATCCAGCTTAACTTTATCAGCTAAACAATAAGAGGAAACATAGAAACTTGCTCGACTGAGACTAAATATAAGTATTTTATGAACAAAATTTGTTTGCCTTGTTAAGCTCGTACTTGTTTGTATAAGCTTCTACCAATGAACTTCCAACGTGCATGTTTGTGTCGAAGTTAGCTTTGGCTATCCAAGCATGTATGTATCTGTTGGCAAGGAAGGACAAGCTCTCAGAATGATGGAAAAAAAGGTAAATCCATCAATGCAGCATCTTTTTTTATTACCATTTCCAATCTCTTTGAACTGCTTTTGGGGGTCATCCGTTTCCCCGAGCTGAGTACACATCTACAACTGCAGTCGCTACAAATTCACCCAAATCCATTCCCTTTTTAATCACCAAACCATGAAGCAAATGGCTGTTATCAACATTCTTCATACTTCCACAAGATGCAAGAGCAATTGTAAATGTGTATTCATTTGGTTCGATCCCACTGTCCCTCATCAACCAGACTGGCCTCATAGCTTTCTCAAAATCCTCACGTTGGTACAATCCATCAATGATTGCATTCCATGAAGTGACATCCCTTTGTGGAAGGCATTCAAACACCGATTATCACCTCACACTTCCAATACATTGCCGAAAGTGCATTACTCACAGTTTCACAGCTGTTTCTGATAAATACTGCATCTTCACAACTTAGGCATGAAACTGTTTACCTTCTTGGAAGCCAAAAGGATTTTACAAATTGCTAAGCATAGTTGAGTATGTATAAGGATTATGCTTGTTATCCAAGCTTCCACACTCATGAAGAACCTAAAAGCTTCATCAAATAATCCGCAATTAGCATAACCAGACATCAAACAACTACATGAAGCATCATCTGGATGAGGCATTGCGTGGATTACAAATTCATACTTCCATGATCATTTGACCAAAATTTTTGTTCGCAGTCAGTCTTCCTTAACTAGCCGAATTCAGCCCTGGCAGGCTATAGGGGAGGAAATTTCTGAAGAAACAGCTCAACAAAGATGAACAAGCTGAGGCAAGCAGAAATGTAAAGCAATTCGATAAAACAGGAAGCGGTATTTCAGGCTAACTTGTGACTTGTTTATTACTTGAAAAGATACTTGAGTTCACAAATCCAATCAAATGCTCAAACCCTATTGCTTGATCGAGACAGAACTTGGTCCGTGATGCCTACACCAAGGACAACTAGTACCGAGTTTGCTTAGGAAGATATATACATATAGTAGGAAAAGAGGAGAAGAAAGAACCACAAAAAGTAATATAATCAAGAACCAACAGTTTTCCTTGTGATCTCTCCGCTTTTACATAACTGAATGAAAATATAGCTCGACTATAAATTATTATTTCGAACAAGAAAGCTGATTAAATGGTATGCCTAGTTCCACTCGTCTCAAAACAAAATTTGACCCTAAATATTATTTTAGTATCGTTCTCCGAATCTGAAGAACACTGCCCCAGCTCCGGTGTTATGGTCAACAGCATAATCGGCTCTCACCTGACCTAGCTTGACACCAACACCATATGACGATCCACGACACATTCGCCTGTATACCTCAGTTGGGTTCCCTTTTACATCCTTTGAACTTCCTAGATCATTCCCATGCTCTGCAAATGCAAAAATATGTGTATTTCTCACAGTTATTCTTATCTCGGCTCCAAGCTGCAGGTAACACCAGGGAAAAAGAATTCAGATAAATTTAGCCATTTCATGTAATTGTAAAATCAGAATCCTCCCCTTTAGCTCACAGTTCCTGTAAAATGCAACATAAATGATGAATTAAAAGATAAAAAATATTACGAAAGCATTATTACCTCAAGAATGTTTCTGGCTGCACCTAATTCACCCATGTTATAACCTCTCACGGAATAGGGCCCCCCGAGAGTAAAAGCATCATAACTTGGAAGGTCACCCACACAGCCTCCATAATGGCCATGAAGGACTAGAACAGGTGGTGGGGGTTTATCAACACCTTCTTCCACTTGCTTTAGTTGGAGAAATCTAGTAAGTGTTAGTTGGTGGCGGTTAAAGATTGGGAACTTGCTTCCAATGCCAAGTCCTTGGTCCACCTGCATTGAGTAAATAAATGCCGGCGATAAGCTAGGAGACAAAGTTTTAAGCAAACTCGAAATATATTTATGAAGAAACCACTTTTGTAACTAACGGTAGGTTATAGTTTACGATACAGCATCTCTAAGTAAGCTTAAACTTATCCATTTCAGCTATTTCAACAGTGCAGAGAACAAGATATTCGAAAACCGAACAAGAAGAATAATGAGGGCTATTGTTCTGAACCTGATACACTTATTTTGGTTATTCAATATGGAAAGCCTAAAATGCTAGAAATATAAGGAGAATGGCTTTGTTATCTATCTTAGAATAAATCTTATATATTAAGGCCTGTTTACCGGAATGTTTCAAGTAAATGTTACACTATCAAAGTTGTCACCTCATTCCCAATATTGAACAGTATCAGCCAAGACAGAATACCTAGTTCACTCAAAAATATTTACTGTTTAAAGATATGGGCTAACCTGAAACACATTCCTCTCACCAACTATAGCTCCATTTATGAACTTAGTGTTATCACGTGTGATATTTGCCTGTAGAAATGCCATTCGATCAACACCAGTACCACTGAGAGTAGTTGGAGGTCCATTTGTGCTTGCCACCACTTGGTAGCACTCTCTGACCTTTTAGAGCGATATGACTGCTTTCATCTCGCATTGTTATCTCTTCCATCACAAGTCCATAAGTGAATTTACTTTGACGGGTGAAATTCTGCCAGAGGTATATCAATTACAAAATATTCTCTGGTACATAAAATCCAAAACTCACTTCAGGAACTGTCATAAATGTAGCAGATTACCTCGGTAATGTTAGCTTTAAGACCGGCTCTGTCAACCCATATCGGTGGGACTTCATCAACTCCCGGACCTAGGGGTGTAAACGAGCCGAGTCGAGCTCGACTCGAACTCGAAAACTTCAAATGTAAACTCGACTCGAAAACTCGCGAGCCTAAAATTTTCAAGCTCGACTCGAACTCGAAAGATAATATTGAAACTCGACTCGAACTCGAAAAAGCTCGAACTCAAAAAAAATTCAAGAGCTCAATTGAAACTCGAGACTCGAGTTTGATTGAAGCTCGATTCAAGCTTGATTTTGAGCTCGATTCAACCTAGATTCAAGCTCAACAGGTTAATTTTCAATCACTGAAAACCCATCCCCTTTTATAGACTCACTTTACCCCTTATTCCCCAAGAACCACCGATGTGGGATCGTGTGTGTTCCAGGGTGCCCAGCCTGGAATCTCAAGGCATCGCTTGCCACAGACTCCAAAACTTCCCTCAATCCTTACGAAACCAGATCCATAAATCGAGATTTCCAATCATAAGCACTTTCAATTCCTTTACTTATTACATCTAAAAACGAAAGTCGGGAGGGAAAATCCAGGATCTCGAGCTCTAATGATGGATGAGTGTTTGCCTGTTTGGTTCTGTATTAAAAAACACTTCAAAGAGGAGTTTTGGGAATTTTAAACAGTCGGGATCTCTTCATCTTAGCTTATCTTACCTTCAAAGCAAGGCCACTCTTCATCCTCATCATCGGGCAACCATAGATTTCTTCAAAAGAAACCACACATTCACATCCCCAAGATCTTTGCTTTAGGCCAACTTCTCCATCGCCGTGAGCTCAAGCACTGGAAAACTGCATTACTTTCCCTTTGCAGTAGGCTTGTTGATAATTAACATCATCTTTCTATCTTCTTTTCTTCTTTAAATTTCCAGAAATAGACTACAAGATTTGTTCAATATTTTCGGTTCAATGTACTTTGTTGTGGCCTTTCTGGGGATGAACAATAGCTCATATGTCCAACCATTTGTTGCCACAGAGAGGGTTGTTATGTACGGAGAAAGATTTGCATGGATGTACTCTTCTTGGGCTTATGCACTAGCACAGGTACGTTCTCTTACGCATCATAAGTTAAAATGAACTTTTTAATTTTCTCTCTTTGAGCTAAGTTGCTAGTTTTTTGGGTTCTCGATAAAGCTTATAGTAAATAAGGAGGGTGTAAATATTTTGCAGGTGGCAGTTGAGGTACCCTATCTATTTATCCAAACTCTGTTGTTTGGAATGATCATATATCCCATGATTGGCTATTATTGATCATCATATAAGGTTTTGTGGTACTTCTATGCCATATTCTGCACACAGCTCTACTTCACCTTCTTTGGAATGTTGTTTGTGTCATTGACACTGGAAGTCACAATAGCTGGAGCTTTATTATCGTTCTTCTATCCGTTGCTTAATCTTTTCTCCGGCTTTCTGATGCCTAAACCGATAAGCTATTACTATTAGAAAGAATTTGGTATGATGAAAAATGAATATGTTGAATTATACCTAGTATAACTGTGGTGTAGTATTCACTTAGCTGGTTATGTTATTCTTTATCTGCAGAAAATCCCAAAGTCGTGGCTCTGGTTGTATTATCTAATGCCTACATCTTGGACATTGAATTGTTTGCTCGCTTCACAATATGGAGATATAAACGATGAGATTGTGGTATTCGGTGAAATGAAGCCATGACAGTGATCTCTGTGCTTGAAAACTATTTCGGGTTTCGCCATGACCGCTTACACATTACAGCTGTCGTTCTGATTTTGTATCCCCTAATTTTTGCAACCCTTTTCCCATATTTTCTTGCATGTTTGAACTTTGAGAGAAGGTGAATATGTATGTCCCACAAAGATGAAAATTATGTGCATAAACGAATTGTGATCCCTTTGTACTGAACTGGGTTTCGTTGTCTACTCTTTGTTTGAGTTCTCACCATTCCATTGCTTGC